AGGCGAGATTTTTGTGATCAGTCCAAATCAACACGGGCTGCTCGGACCCCTCGAGCCAGTGGCGCCACTCCTCCAGGGCTAGCTTGATTGCTAGGAGCTCTCTGTCCCCCACATCATAGTTCCGCTCAACGGCAGAGAAACGTCAGGAGAAGAAGGCGCAGGGGTGCAGTTTTTGGTCCTGGTCCGAACACTGAGAGAGAACTGCTCCAACGTCAGTGTCCGAAGCATCAACCTCCATGATGAACTGCTTGGAGGGGTCTGGATGGATGAGAATTGGAGCATGGGAGAATCTATCCTTAAGGTCAGAGAAGGCAGAGTTAGCCTCAGGATTCCAATCAAAAGGGACCTTTATGGATGTGAGAGCATGGAGGGGGGCAGCGATCTGGCTGTAACCACGGATGAAACGTTGATAAAAGTTTGCAAACCCTAAAAAGCGTTGTAACTCCTTATGAGTGGAGGGAATGGGCCAGTCGAGGACAGCTTTAACTTTTTCGGGGTCTGAGCGGACACGCCCCCCCCTCCAGGATGAATCCCAGGAACGTGACTGCAGGCTTGTGGAACTCAAAATTTTCAGCTTTAACAAAGAGTCTGTTCTCGAGAAGACATTTGAGGAGCTGCCGCACATGGAGTCGGTGTTCTTTGATGTTCCATGACTAAATGAGGATGTCGTTCAGGTAAACAAAAACAAAAAGATTCAGATAATCTCGGAGGACGTCATTGACGAGGGCTTGGAACACTGAGGGAGCGTTACATAATCCAAAAGGCATGACTTGATACTCAAAATGTCCCAGAGGCGTCTTAAAGGCAGTTTTCCACTCGTCCCCCCGGCCGATCCTAACCAAGTTCTAAGCATTACGTAGATCTAACTTGGTAAAGATGGTAGCTGACTGGACCGGTTCGAGCGTGGAGGAGAGAAGAGGCAGTGGGTACTTGTTCTTAATGGTAATCGTGTTTAAGCCGCGATAATCGATACAAGGGCGAATGGTGCCATCCTTCTTAACCACGAAGAAGAACCCCGCCCCGAGAAGCGTGGACGAAGGACGAATTTGCCCAGCTGCTAATAACTCCTTTATATATTTCTCTAGGGCCTGCCGTTCAGTCTGAGAAATATTATAGAGGCGGCTAGAACGCAGCGGGGCGCCAGGCAGGAGGTCAATGGCACAATTGTAAGAGTGATGAGGCGGCAAAGAACAAGCCTGTGATTTGCTAAAGAACATCTTAAGGTCATGATAGCATTCCGGTACCGACACGAGGTTCTCCGGATCAATCTCCGCTGGAGGATGAATGGAAGATGGGCTAACAGGAACGGCGGATAGCAAACAACATGAAAGACAAAACGGAGACCAGGACTCCACCCGTCGATCAGACCAGTTAATATGAGGGTTATGTGAAGTTAACCAAGAGCAACCCAAAACCAGTGGAGTGTGCTTAACGGGAAAGATAAAGAAAGACATAATTTCTCTATGGTTTCCCGAAACAACAACCTCCATGGGTTTGGTTTGGTGGGTGATCTTAGGAAGTTCCCCTCCGTCCAAGGCCAAAACCTGGAGGGGGGTATGCAGAGGAACAGTCTCGAGCCAAGCTCGACAAACAAAAGAGGAATCAATCAAGCAAAAATCACACCCACAATCGATCAGGGCATGCAACTTAAATGTGTCCTGCGCCTTAATAATGGTTGCCTGGAGACAGAGTCACGGAGGTGTGGAATAGGTGCTTTGGTCCGCCGGTCTCTCCGCTACGGCCAACGGACCTAATCTTTTGGCCGCCTGGGGCAGTCATTTATGAAATCTTCCGGGGACGCGCAGTAAATACATAATTTGGCCCTCATCCGATGCTGTCTCTCCTTTTGGGAGAGCCGCACCCGTCCCACCTGCATGGGTTCGGGAGGGGATGGGGGAGACGCTACAGGACTAGTAGACAGGCGATCTGGTGGAGGTGACCGGAAAAAAGATGATTCCACCAACCTACCCTTACTTCGGCTTCTAAGCCGATTATCCGGCCGAATGGCTAAAGCAATAAACTCGTTTAACGAAGGGGGAACCTCAAGGTGGGCTAATTGGTCCTTGAGGGATTCATCTAAGGCTTGAAAAAATACAGTCTTCAACGCACGCTGTTCCCAGCCAGCGGCGGCTGCTAACGTGCAGAACTCAATAGCAAAGTCAGACACGCGTCTACCCAGCTGCCTAAGAGCTAGTAGTCGGCGGGAATCCTGGACCTCATCTGATTCAGCCCCAAAAACCATTTTGAATTCGTCAACAAACTGACTAAATGAAAAACCCAGACGCTGACAATCAGGGAAGGGGGACTCAGCCCATCTTAAAGCTCTTCCCGTCAGCAGGCGTAAAATGAAAGAAATCTTAGCTTCATCCTGGGCATATAACCGAGGCGAACGGTTGAAAATAAGGGAGAACTGGAAAAGAAAACCCCCACAGCCTCCACTGTCTCCTGAGAACTTCTCAGGACTAGGTGAGGAGGACTCGTAGACAGGAGGAGGCACAACAGCTGACTACGGATCGGGGGCGGGGTCAGGCAACGTGGCTGACAGCGCGGAAGGCAGCGCGGAAGCAGAGGGCTGGACGCCAGAGCTAAGAACGGAGGTAAGCTGATTGATTTGGGCTGCAAAGCCCTGTAATTGATTCTGCATGGTTAGAACCGCTGATTCTAAGCCCCGAATTTGGTCCTAGCGGGCAGTTAACGCCCGACCAATGTGTCTGCTGGGTAGGGTTGGCCTGAGTGTTCTTCTGTCATGTTGGGTTTTAGGTGCTAGGCCCACATGCAGATCACACTCGGAGGCAGGAGGCAGTTTTAGGTTGTTTTATTTAAACCAGACAAAAACAGCATGGGATGAGTAAGCTAGAGAGACACAGAGCAGTGAAGCATGGACCGGGGACGCTCGGATTTGAGGAAGGAGAGAGGTGGGAGGAAGTGATTAAGATAGGGTACCGAGCAGAGAACCTGACGAACAGAAAAAAAGGCTTACCACTTGAGAAGGGAAACCGGACCGGGGAGAACGGATCGGACTCGGCACTGCCTGACCTTGGTGAGGCTGGTGACAGAGAGACTGACTAGGGGCTGAGAGCGGGACCGAGCAGCACCTGGCAGTCTTCTCCACAGAGCCAGCAGGAGGATCCAGGAGGGCCACAGAGGGAGCTCAGGTGGGCAGATTTAGCAGAGGAAAAACCTGATAACGATCGAGGACCTGATAACGATCTGTCAGAAGACAGAGGCCACAGGTTCGTACCACAACGGTTAACACTCAGGCATCCTCCTGCTGTCTGAGTCCAGCTCTTATAGTCCTGCCGCACGCCGTTCAATGAGCCACAGGTGTAGGCGCCCAGCCCCTCTGTCAAACAGTCACCTGCAGAGAGAGTGGAGAAGGCCGAGCCAGCAGAACTGCATGGCCCAGGCTGCCGAATCCTGACACTTTTTTTAATGTAAAAAAGAAATGTGGTGATTCCTACTAAAAAATGTAAATAATGTTTTTTGGTTCAATAAAAAAAAGACCAGACCTCCATTTTGAAAAGGTTTGCATTTAAAGTTATCAGTGACTAACACAGTAGATAAATCTGAGCCTATTTAACCAAATCTAAATATGCTTGTTATATGCCGATTTATCCTGTATTTTCTTTTGAAGATATATAATTGTGCAAAGGTAAACGGGTGAAACACACTCTTATTTTTTAAATGCTCTCTCTGTATCATGAAACAACGCAAAATAACACATTCAAGGAAAGGCAAATAATTTATTGTGTTTACATTTAGTGGCATCATGTACAAAAAACAACACTAAGAATGAGACTAAATTTATTCCAAATACTTCATAAAGAACTCCCAACTGCCTAGCATCTCTGTGTACTTCATTCACAAAAAGTTATAAAAAGGTATATTTTTTCAAAAACAGCTGTTGTAGTATGATCACCAGAAGTCCCTTGGTTTGTGTGGCGATTTTGGAGTGTCTGCACTGTACAGCGTTAGAGCTATTGATCGAAACAGGATGATATTAATGCTTAACAACAATAAAAAAATTCCAAAAAAAAAGCAAAGGTGTCTTTTTCAAAAACAGCTGTTGTAGATATTTTGGGATATCTGCCCAAATATAACTTGATTTCATTCAGAAGCATCTTATTTTAAATAGAACAAGTCCTTTTTAGGCAAAAATCACCTTTCTTCAACCACATTTGGCCTTTAATCAATTTCTAGCAGGGCGTTTTGACCAGCCGACTTGCTAGAAATTGATTAAAGGCCAAATGTGGTTGAAGAAAG